GCTCCTCACACTTTCACTGGTAAATACATGTACATGTACATAATGGACATTTGATGTGTCTGTTATCTGCTTCATAAATCAGTTTTTAAATAGCTACCTAATGCAATTAAAATTATCCAAACTAGCATGCTTCTGGTAATTTGAAGTTGTGGCATTTGTTGAACTGCTATATTTTGGTGTGTTTTAATCTGTGTCCATGTCCCATTGAGCATGTACATGTGTACATAATGGTTCATAATGGTGGGTTTTATTTTGATGAATGGCTATTATCAAAATACCAAATTTACCAAAAATTCCCTCTCCAAAATCACACGTTCAGATATTTAAAAATGGACATATCTTACAGTATGTGTCATGTATTAACCTTCTCTTTCCTAAGGTTATAGCAAGTTCCTGTTAAAGGTTCAAGTACATTAGGTATGTGTCAATATAATTATATTGTTCTCTGTTCTAGTGTGGGCAGCAATGTAGTGCCGCCTCCACGTGACACTGCCTGGGATCACTAGTGGCTACTACTGCTAGTGATGCTAAGAGCACTACATACAAGAAGAATAGATACTAACAGTAACTATGTATGATGAATTACATTCCATTGTTAGGTTAATGACATTAAGAGGATAAGTACAATTCTCTGCTATTGAAGACTACATTGAGAAGTATTCTAAGTATAGTATTGTTAAATGTGTTGTCATTGCTATAGGTTAATTGTTTGCTGTTTGAAGCTGTACATTAACTGAAGACTATAAAGAATTACATAAAATAATTATTGTTTATAATTTTAGCATTTTTGTTTAATACACAATGTTGTCTTTTTATCATTGATTATTATGAATTTTGATTAGAATTATTGCGAGAGCCATTAATGCAGAAGCAGGTGCAATGACTTAAAAACAGAAATGAGATTAAATCATAAAAAATGACAATAAAATATTTTGGCCATACTTGCGAGTACAAGTCAACAATGATTTTAATTAATTAAACCAGTCTTATAGTGTTACAGTCCTTAGTTCCTAAACCCAGTCTATAGATCTTCAGTATATGAATGAGAGATCAGTCCTTGAGATGATGAGTTCAGTATCAGGTCCACAACCTATAATAAATAATAAGAAATGATTAATGATACTTTATTGAATAACATAAAGTCTGACATAGAGTTGATTCAAACAATTATTTGTTGACTTACATGCATAGCCATTTTAAAAGTAGTAAATTTTTGAAAAAAATCAAAAGAAACACATGCTAATAGTCCATGGTTTTCTACAAAAATCACACCCAACTAATGGAGGGAACACAATAACAAAAATAGTAGTAATTTCAGCAACTTTTAAATTTAGAATCAACTCAAACTTTCTACACAACATAAGTACATGTACATGTACAGAAAATGTATAAAAATCAAGAATTCCATTTAAAATTATAAAAATCCAATTTTGACGAAAATCAGCTCAACTGTTCTACGAACATGTATAATCATCAAGTGCAATAAAATAAAAATTCTCTCTTTCTTAATTTTGGCAAAATTGGACCATAACCATGTACTATGTCAAAAAGATTTTTAAGAAACAGTTTTATTTCCCAACTCAGTTTCCCCACCATCTCCTGTTCATACGCCATCTTCAACAGTAGACATAATAGTGAGTGGTCACCACCAATATGACTATTACTCTTATTTTATTACTTTATTTTTTTAACTCTAATTAATTAATTTTATTAAGTTTCTTTTCCTTATTAAATCTGTTCTAGTCTTCCTTCTTTCTTGTTTTTTTTCTTTGTAATTATGCTGGCTTGCCAGTCTGTTTTGGAGCAACGCTCCACAGTAACACTGTGTCCTAGCCTTACTACTATTTGATTTATATTCTATTGTGTTTTATTATAAATTGTGACCTTTTGGTCGTATTTCAAAAAAAAAATAGTACAGTGGCTTTCAGCCAATTTTAGAGCAACTTTATCAATTTATCCATCTTGAACGGAATCAGCTTAAACTTTCCATGCAATAGAAGTACATGTATTTGCATCATAAAATTGAATAATAATTCAAAATTTCCTATTATAATTAATTTGGCGAAATTTGGCTTGTCCTAGTGCAGGGACTCTTAACCAATTTTAAAGCAACTTTATAAATCTATTTTGATCAAAATGAGCTCAAAATTTCTACACAATATGAGTACATGTATATGTATCAGGACAAAATTATAAAAATGATAAAAATGAGGATATCTCTTCTTTAATATTGGCAAATTTGATAAATGACCCACTATATACTCATAAAGCATTTCATTTCATATTATCAGTAACTAGTTGATATGTACTTTATTGTGAACTGTCTGAACATTGCCAAGCCACACCTACAAATCCCTGCCCGGCCAGCCCCAGTTAGCCCAAGACCATGTGCTACCAGCCTATACCAGGTGTGTGGAATGGGTCCTAATAAAGAGAGAGGGCATGATTGTTGAATAGTATATTCATTTCAATAGATCAGAGACTGATACTGAGTACTATTGTGAAGTCTTCAGAGGATGATATCACATGCAGTCTTTAGTACTTAATTCCAGCACACAGTCAACCCACGTGTATTCACGTGGGTAGATCTAGTCCACACCTACAATATTATTGTCGGACACGCCCTAAACCTGCTGACTTCAGCTTCTCGCCTCTCATTCTCTTCTTTAAGTTCTTTTCTCATTTTCTTTCGCTCTCTTTTGTTAGGAATGGCTACTCGTAGGATTCCAGTAAGTATATACTATCAATAAAGTATATAATTAATGTATTGTACATATTGTGTTAGTAATGTACTGATACAATGTATATACATGATACTAGTGCCGGTACTGTTGGTTAATGTGTGTGGGTAGATCTACATGTACATGTATATGATTCAATTGATGTAGTTAGTTTGGGAATTGTCCCAAATTTTAGATATAATGCTTTTGTCACGTCTTGCAGGGGCATATCCAGGGGGGGGGGTGCTGAGGGTGCTTGAGCACCCCATACACATACATACAGTACATACATAGCACCATGCACAGCTAATGGCCTCTGAGATATTTTTGCTTTGACACAGTAAATCTTCCATATTCTTTCAGACACATACCTACCATCAATGATCCATTGGGAGTGATACATTAATTTTAGTATATCAATATTACTGCTTTATATTTTTATCGCTAAGAATTAGAGCCATTAATGATTAAGAAATAATTTTTTCTGCCGAATTTTAATTTTAGATAAAACAACGCTATACACTTCCATCTGCTGTACTTGTATACTCATTGATTCATTGACAGTATGTATAGTCAGTAGTGGGAGTATACTAATAGAACAATATCAATGAGTAAATATCTTTACATAAAAGGACTTGTAATGAGTACAAATTTCCACTTGATTAGATTCATTCCTTATTAGTCTCACATAGCCAGTCCCTCCCTCTACAAAGCAAGGGTCTGGTCTATTACCATACATTACCTCATTCATCTTTCAACCTTACTTCTGGTGGAACTAAGTACACTAAACATTGAATAACCTTATGTGTATATTATCAAGATTGAAACCTCCTTTTTGGGCCAGGATTAATTATACTAAGCATAATTGAATTTCCTGGAATTTAATTATTTACAAATTGTGTTAGATGATGCATGAAATCCACTAAATTAGGAATACCAGTAAACATTAGTGCAGTGTATTGTAGATAGTATAATGTGTTATCATAACAATGTCAGTAATGGGACCCTCATCTAGTAGTGTACCGTATATCCTTAAATAGAAGCTGTATTTGAATAAACGCCGGGGTAGCAATACAATTCAAGTATAAATACATGTATGCAACACTAGCCCAAGAGTAACTCAGTAGTCTAGTGGATAATGCCTAAAGTTCCAGAAGTCAAAAGCATGAGGTTATGGGCTCGAATCCCACTCTGGGCCGAAGTTTTTTTTTGTTTTATGTATATATATATTTTTTAGATCCAAGTACCATTTAAGGAAATACGGTAGTAGTTTGTATCTTTTCCACTGGGTATTTATGTAATATTGTCACTAGGTGTTCCTCCTCC